GGGAGGGAGGGAGGGAGGGAGGAATGAGAGAAGGGGATCTTACTTGAGTATTACAGATGCAGGTCCGAGACTCTTCAGTAGAGTTGTTCACAGGAAGTCAATGACCCAAGGCAGGAAATGCATCACAAAGCGAAGCAAGAGTGACAAGGGGTTATTTGGCCATGGAGACGCAAACGATTGCCAAACAGAAGCTCTGAACATCAATGCTACTGCGGATCAACTTCACTTCTTACATTACCGATTTTCCCAGGTTAGGAAAAGGTACCAGAATATAGACCACTCTTGAACAGGCATTTAGAATATGGCTTACATGAAGTTCAGGTGCAATGAATGGAATAGAAATGTTCAAAGTTCACAGTTTTGCAACTGAAACAAAAGCCACGCATTTGGAAATGTGCATAGTACTGCGTACCTATCAGTCAACAAAAATATTTGACGGAACTTGGATATTTATTTGGTACTGAAGTAGTCTGTTTGTTATAGTTCTGAATGACGGCTCGATCCATGGACCTCGTGCTGGGCACTAGACACATTTTAAACTTCTGTCCCTCAAATATTTTTAATTCTTCCTTCCTTTCGTTAAGGGGGGCTTGTTTTTTTCTTAAAGGACCGTTGTCGAAACGTACTATAAAATTGTAGAAACTTAGAAAGCACATTGTCTACAACCTTTTTTTTTTGAAAATTTTTCCTTCCTTTTTTCTTTTCTCTTCCTTCTCGATTTATGTGCGTCATGATGTCATCCTTTTTTTTTTTTTTTTTTTCCTTAGAGAAAACGCCCATGAAAAACAGCTAGGGGTAATGATAAGAGCATGTACCCCTAGCTATATTCGTAGGTGGCTCCGATCTAGGGGTAATACCGTAATACTAATCTTCTCTGTATCTTTCCAATTTTAATGGATGTCCCGAAGGACATTGTCTACAAACTCAAAACGGTACTCAATTCCTTTTTTTGTTGTTTGTTTGATGCTGCCACAACAACAAGTCCCTGATATTAAAATAAAAGGCCATGACATACAAAAAAAAATACAAAGGGGGACTCGCTTTCTCACACGACCACTCTCCAAAAGGTCCTTATTTTCCCTACCAGGCTACCAGTGATTTCTTCTCGTGTTCCCGTCCCTTGAGAAAGAAGTTCAAGGAACTGAATGGAAGAGGTGCTGGCAGCGACGAAGGTAACTGCGGCGGGACCATCGACAGCAACAACAACAACAACAACAACAACAACAACAACAACAACAACAACAACAACAACAACAGCAACAACAACAATAACAGTAACATCGGCAGCGGTTACAGCGTCTTCATCAGCAATGATATTGACAACAATGACGGTGCGGACATGGATGATGGTAATAGCAACAACAACAGCAACAACAACGACCACAACAACAATAACAACAATGACAGCAACGGCAATAGCAACAAAAACAAAAATGACTAGATGACCCATTGCGGCTTCGCCCGCGAAAACAGAAAAAGAAAAAAGCACAAAAGAAAGAAAACGCATAAGGAACTGGCACGAACTGCCCTATCATATGCCGCTTCTTTCACAATAAGAAAAAGAAGAGCCTGAGAGCAGACGAAAACCGGCGTGCAAGAAAATAGCATGGAATACCACCAAACATTCTTTTTTCTTTATCTTTTGTTTGGGGAGCCGTTACCTTTGCAGCATCGTTTTTGTTTTGTGCTGTGCAAGTACTCTGGACTTTTCTGAGAAAATCCAGTCCGTTGTCCCGTTGATGTTTTTGGTAAAGATTCAGAATCAGACTTTGTTTGCTGTGTTCTCTTGATATGTTTGTGATCAAGCGATCTTGCATGTATGTATGCCCCGTGCTTACTTGTTGAATTTGGACGATGTGTGTGCAAGTGCAAGTGCGTGTGGGTGAGTCTCAGTTTGGTGGGCTCGGATGATGTCATTGACGATTGGCCCGGGGAAGCCGTTGGAAGGCGCCTCCAACTATAGGAGTGCCACTGATGTTAAGCAGGTTTTGCGTTGTATGAATGAAACAATCAGCATTCAATCTGCTTGGCAGTTGCTCTTCAGGTGGGGGACTTGTCGAGAGTAGCATTGACATGAGAGCCATAATGCTGGGCGTACATCTTGGAACATTTCCTTGAAGGCAAAAGGCAAAGAAGAAACGAAGTAGCACGTGTCAGAGTCACATAATGGACAGCTTGGCACAGTCCCCCCC